AAAACATCAGGTATTATTGTTAATGTGTGTATAAGATGAAGTAAAACATTGGGTATTATTGTTCATGTGTATATAAGATAAAGTAAAACATCAGGTATTATTGTTAATGTGTGTATAAGATGAAGTAAAACATTGGGTATTATTGTTCATGTGTATATAAGATAAAGTAAAACATCAGGTATTATTGTTAATGTGTGTATAAGATAAAGTAAAACATTGGGTATTATTGTTCATGTGTGTATAAGATAAAGTAAAACATCAGGTATTATTGTTAATGTGTGTATAAGATGAAGTAAAACATTGGGTATTATTGTTACATGGTATCCACTTAACATAGATTGGGGTGCATGGTATTCACTTAACATAGATTGGGGTGCATGGTATTCAGTTCTGTCAATTGTTCCATCATGTTTGATAATTTAAAATCAGATATAAAATATCAAAATATACTATATTTTAAGATCAAGTAGTCTAAGTCACAGGTGACTTTGATCAATAATTACAAAAAGAACAAACTTAAGGATATATAGTGTCCTGGATAAATTTGGGAACAATTTCCCATAATTACAATAATTATATGCTTGGGTGAGTAGTGTTAGGAATGAGTTAAAACCTTGAATAAATGTGAGTAGTGTTTGGGATGAGGTAAAACCTGGACTAAAGTATCCTTTAGTTTCTCAGTGCTGATGAGATCCAATAAGACAAAGAAAATAATCTTTCAGACTTTTATTGGACTTTACTAATCTGTTATATACTAGTATTTTACTCTAATAACACAAAGATAACTTCAACAACACTCTTACTTCGTTTATAAGCTTCTGTTATCTGTTGAATATCATGGTTACTTCTTGTACAAAGGATCTCCAACAAAGTTTCTTCATTTGTGCCCACTCCAGATATGGCATGGTGTAACTCTGAAGCCAAATAGTCTGGCAAAGGAGTCATTAGGGCTAAGATCACATCTTCAAGCTTCCCAGAAAGCTCACTTTTTAAATCATGAACCAAGTCCTAAAACAGTTAAACATGAACAATAACACCTGTCTTACTTTATCTGATACATACATGAAGAATAACACCCAATGTTTTACTTCATCTTATATACACATGAACAATAATACCCAATGTTTTACTTTATCTTATACACACATGAACAATAATACCCAATATTTTACTTCATCTTATACACACATGAACAATAATACCCAATGTTTTACTTTATCTTATACACCCATGAAAAATAATACCTGATGTTTTACTTTATCTTATACACACATTACCCCAATCTATGTTAAGTGAATACCATGCACCCAAATCTGTGTTAAGTGGATACCATGCACCCCAATCTATGTTAAGTGAATACCATACACCCAAACCTGTGATAAGTGGATACCATGCACCCCAGTCTATGTTAAGTGAATACCATGCACCCCAATCTATGTTAAGTGAATACCATGCACCCCAATCTATGTTAAGTGCATACCATGCACCCCAATCTACGTTAAGTGGATACCATGCACCCCAATCTACGTTAAGTGGATACCATGCACCCCAATCTATGTTAAGTGCATACCATGCACCCCAATCTACGTTAAGTGGATACCATGCGCCCCAATCTACGTTAAGTGCATACCATGCACCCCAATCTACGTTAAGTGGATACCATGCACCCCAATCTATGTTAAGTGCATACCATGCACCCCAATCTACGTTAAGTGGATACCATGCACCCCAATCTACGTTAAGTGGATACCATGGACCCCAATCTACGTTAAGTGGATACCATGCACCCCAATCTACGTTAA